TTTTATTGCCATGCTTCATCTTACTCTGTAGTCTCTATTCAAAAGCTAGTTAGATATATTCTCGAATACGTTGTGTTTTGTGTCCGAACTGTACCTGAAAAAGTTCTCTCAAATGCGAGGCTCCAGTGAAGGTAGAATTATATAATACTGTAAGCTGTCGTGTTTCTCTCTGGGCTTTGGCATTTTGAAGATTTTGCAAGAAATGTTGAGATTTTTAATCATTTTCTAGGAATTTTATGAGAATTTTTCGGGTTTGAGATTATAGGAATTTTTACAAAATCAGGCAGGATTTCGAGATTTTTTCGTTTTGGGGGTGATTGTAGGAGGGTCTTATAGGATTAATTCGAAACTATCAGAAAAAAATTCTCAAACATGGTAGTTGTTCAGTGTAAGTAGTATCTGATCTAGCTGAAAACGTCCTTCGTGAGGGGATGATATCCTTGACTGCCTATATATATATATACTGTTCTATACCGCCTTTACAACACATTTGTTCCAAAGATTTTATTATTACTGTATTGCTATATATCTATATCTATAGTAAACGTCTTCTTGATAATTTGGAGCGGACATGTTAGAAATAGTTTCAATAATTTGTTTACGTTCTTCGTACAGTCTTATCACAAAAAAATCTACGAACGATATAATCCCTCATCATTACGTCAGACATGGGGACCCGTTAATAAATATTTTAAGGTCGTCACCGCATTTCATTGAACATGGGAACAACATCTAGAAGATCTTCAAAAAATTCCCACATATTCTTACTCTGTGGTTTTTACATTAAATCTAATTTGCTGCCTATGTTTTGCGCTTGTGATATGAGGGATCTGCGTCACAATTGTCTCTGAAGTGCCCATGTCGTCATTTTGTTTAAAGTGCAGAAACTGAGTTATGAAGCAGCCACAAGGGCGGACCCAAAGATGATGGAAGGCCCCAACGTGCATGCAGGGTAGGGTTAATGTTCAACTCAGAGACGGATTTTCATATTTTCGTTCGGGGGGTGGATAAATATCTGGGGGGTGCTGCTGCTTGCTTTGACCGGGGCGTGGTGGCAACGCCCGGAAAAGCCAAGGAAAAAGTTTAACAAAATCTGTTTTCTAGGCCTGCATGGCGAGATCTCTGAGACCATAATATTGGTAATTTACAAATTTAGTAGTAAGAATAATCAAATATGAAACTATCAAATCAAAATATATATAATTTGCGGGGGTGCAAAAACTTTTTGGGGCGGTGCCAAATGCCTCTGGGGGGGGGGGG